GTATATGGCTTATGGCCAGAAGAATTTGATTTTTGCGAAGTATGGACCATATTGGCGTAACATACGCAAATTGTGCACCGTGCACCTTTTGAGTAGTCATAAGATCAATTCATTTCAGTCCATGAGAAAGCAACAAGTTCAACTTCTGATTGATTCACTTAAAAGGGAAGCTCATGATCGCATTGTTGTTGATCTTAGTGCAAAGATTACGTCCTTGAATGCCAACTTGACTTGCCTAATGGTATTTGGAAAGAAGTACATGGATGAGGACTTGGATAAAAGGGGATTCAAAGCTGTAGTCCAAGATGTTGTGCATTTAGCTGCAACACCAAATCTTGGAGATTTTTTCCCCTTTCTTGGTGTTATTGATCTCCAAGGGCTCACTCGCAAGCTCAAAGATCTTTCAAAGGTGTTTGATGAGTTTCTTGAGAAGATTATTGATGAACATGTTCAGTCTCATGACCAGAAACAAACCAAGGATTTTGTCGACACAATGATGGAGATTATGCAATCAGGAGAAGCAGAGTTTCAGTTTGACCGTCGACATATAAAAGCTATCCTCTTGGTATGTACTGCTATCCCATTTTATCATACTAATATAAGCTCAAGAAATCACAAATCTTAAGATTATTGCTCATTTCACTAATAATTTCCCCTATTTCTATACAGGACATGCTTATGGCTGCAATGGACACTTCAGCAACATCAGTAGAATGGATATTGACAGAGCTTCTTAGGCACCCTAATGTGATGAAGAAACTCCAAAAAGAGTTAGATGAAGTGGTAGGAATTGAAAGGATGGTAGAAGAATCAGACTTGGAGAATTTGAAGTACTTAGACATGGTTGTAAAAGAGGGCCTGAGGCTGCATTCCGTAGTGCCAATAATGCATCATGAGGCCATGGAAGATTGTGTCGTCGATGGCTTCCACATACAAAAGGGATCCAGAATCATGATTAATTGTTATGCAGTTCAGAGGGATCCAAATGTTTGGCCAGAGCCTGAAAAGTTTTTCCCTGAGAGATTTGTTGGGAGCAGCGTAGATATTCGTGGACGTGATTTTCAACTTTTACCATTTGGCTCTGGTAGAAGAAGCTGCCCCGGAATGCAGTTGGGGGTTACCATTGTTCGCCTTGTGGTTGCACAATTGGTGCATTGCTTTGATTGGGAGATTCCAAATGGTATGCAGCCTCTTGATTTAGAAATTGACGAGCAGTTTGGGTTAGTAACATGCAAAGAAAAGCCTTTGATGGCTATTCCTACTTATAGACTAAAGGAAGATGCAAATACATTGCAGATGTAAGAGAACTAGTCTCTCTAAGCTACTGATAATATTACACAAGCGTAATCTAAAGTTCTCCTCAGTATTGTGATTGTTGTAAATTTCCCCAGTTATTCAACAAATACTATATTGACAGTACATCTATGCCTAATCATATTGGAATTCGCCAGTAGTCTCATTATGCACACAATCGACCTTTTCTTTTTTTTTTGTTTCCCTTTTTACTGTGTTGGTGACGTCCAATCCTACTCTTGCAATGAAAGTAGTAAGGTCACAACAATAATAAACACAATAAAGGTTGGGATCGAATCTCAGGAGAAGTATGGTGTGTGCTAATGTGTCCAACTGAGTGCAAACTTGATGTTTCCTATTGTATTCTTGTCATGACCCAAAATTCCACTAGTCGTGATGACACCTAACTCAACCCGCTAGGTAAGCCAATTAACAACTATCCAATTCTAATGATATTACCAAGACAAATAAACGATAGTAATTTATTGAATTTTATACATTTCCCAAAGACTGGTAGTACAAATGAGCTTTTAAGAATAGAATTTACAAAGTTGAAATGAGATAAATACATCGTCTGTTTGAAAAGTACATAAACAGAGTTTTATAGATCTAAAGCTACCACGAACAAGGGGCAGCTACAAACGCGACGCAGGTACATCTTCAATCCAGCTCCCATCGAACACAGCAACCAACATTTGCATGCAAGGTGCAGAAGTGTAGTATGAGTACAACCGACCCTATATACTCAGTAAATAACAAACCTAACCTTAGGTTTAAAGTAGTGACGAGCTAACACAAGGTTGGGACCAATACCAATATCCCACAACAGTTCATAACAACATAATACAAGTAATGAAAGATGTATCTCAGAAGTAAAATGCTCAGCTCGTTCACAGTTCCAGAAAATAGTCATGCTTTTCAAGTATCTTAGTGAAAACTCAAATCTTTTACCAAAAATGCCAAAAATACGAGTAAGTTTGAAAACTGTAAAAAATTTTCCAAATATCCTTTCCACAATAAATAAAATATTTCATTTTTCTTTCCAGATAGCAAGTGTGAAATACCTCTATGCCCACATATCAATGTGTGTAAAAAGTCATGAATGACATGATACCGTATAACATGAGAAAAAATGCATCTCTATACTTGTATGTCATGTATGCATGCCAATGCCATGTATCTCAGAGATGAATCATGTACTCACACTCTCAGAGTACTCAATCTCACTGTCTCACTCTTTCCACTCATCATGATCAACCACTCGGTACTGTATATGGCTCATACGGCCCATGGAAGATCCATCCCGGAATATATACATCATTGACCATCAGTCACTCAGTACCGAGGAAGGCCAATTCGGCCCCATGGAGAAGATCCATCTTAAGGTATATAAATGCTTCGGACAAGATCCATTTCAGGGAAGATCCATCCCTCAATATAATCAACCACGCTCACTTGGGGTGTACAGACTCCAGAGGGGCTCCTACAGCCCAAGCGCTATAATCCGCACACATAATTCACATGCTATAATATCAATATCTGGATCCGCACGGACAACTCACGTGCTTATCACGACCCAAAAACCTAATCTGTCGTGATGGCGCCTATCGTGGAACTAGGCAAGCCAACTAATTTCCAAACAAACTGATATTTTCATTTCAAAGATAATTTCAATACTATTTAACATAAAACCTTCATTTAAGGAGTTCAAATAAAAAAAAAATAGAAGTGCGAAAAAGAAAAGCCCGACATCGGAGTGTCACTAGTCATGAACATCTACTATAATCCGTCTAACATTATTAAGGCTAACTCAGCCTGAAAAATAGCTAAATACAACTAGAGGAAGATAAGAGGGAGAAGAGTAGGGGGCTGCGATCGCCAAACAGCTACCTTGCTTTCTCTAAGAAAATCTGCAACCAGGACACTCAATAACCGCTACCGTGTCCAGCTACACCTGAATCTGCATACAAGGTGCAGGGAGTAATGTGAGTACGCCAACTCAGTAAGTAACAACAATAAATAAAGACTGAGTAGTAGTGTCGAGCAATAAAGCATATAACGTTCATATCATGAAATCTCAGTAAAGTACAACATGCTTTAAAAATCAGTGTTTGAATGAAATCATCTTGTTTAAACCCAGTTCCAGTAAAAATCATTTACAGATGTTTTTCAACAGTTTTCAAACAGAGATAAATGCAAAGGTGAGAAAAAATGATGAAATCATAAGCAGCTCCTCGGGCGAAAACATCACTCATATACAGTCCCTCGGGCAAACCTCACAGTCACTTGTGCTACTCGGGCATACCTCACAATTACTTTTGCCACTCGGGCATACCTCACAATCACTCTTTCCACACGAGCATACCTCACAATCACTCATGCCTCCCGGTCACTCAACACTCGCACTCAGTAGGTACCTGCGCTCACTGGGGTGTGTACAGACTCCGGAGGGGCTCCTTCATCATAATCACTCTTTTCCCTTTCGCATGTTCTCTCCCAATTTGTACATTGTTAATCACTGTGTTTGTTACTACTTCGTATATGTATATAATTGCATATGTTGTTTACATAGGTGTCCTTTCATAGCCTCGTCACTACTTCGTCGAGGTTAGGCTTAATACTTACAGAGTACGTGGGGTCAGTTGTACTCATACTACACTCTACACTTCTTGTGTAGATTTTGGAGTCGGTTCTAGTGGCGGTCAGTAGATTGCTTGGATTGATTGCCAGTTTGGAGACTTGAGGTACAACTTTAGGGCATTCACAGCCCTGAAGTCCCCTTCCGCCTTATGCTAGTTGTTTATTTCATTTTGGGTAGTTTTATTTTCATTCAGACCATTATTTTTATAATTCTAGTCGCTTGTGCGCTTGTGACACTAGTTCTAGGATGGTATTTAGATATCATTGTTATTTTTGGTCTACTCATTCTATTTCAGATTTATTTTAGTTATATTGGCTATCTATTATTATTTAATTTGAAATGTTAAAAATAGCCAAAAATTATTCTAATGTTGGTTTGCCTAGCAAGTGAAATGTTAGGCGCCATTACGGTCCCGAGGGTAGGAATTTCAATTCGTGACAAGTTGGTATCAGAGCACTAGGTTACCTAGGTCTCACGAGTCACGAACAAACTCAGTTGAGTCTAAAAGATCGGTACGGATACGTCTATACTTATCTTCTAGAGGCTATGCAGACGTCTATAATTATCTGTCATGCGATTTAATTCTATCATCGATGATTGAACCATTCTATTCTTGTTCTCTCCCATATGGCGAGAACACACACTCCATCTACAACCGGATAGGAGTCCGAGCCCCCAGTAATAGCTATGACCAAGGGCAGTGGTCGAGGCCGAGTTCGCGCCAGAGGCTGAGGTAGAGGTATAGCTAAGCTTAGAGATCGAGTAGCAGCACCCGTAGTGGAGCCTCAGGTAGATTTTGAGGAGGTAGTTCCAGCTTATATGGTACCCGTCGGACAAACTCAGATCCCGAGGGGTTCATAGCCACTCTAGTGGTTCAGGACACTCTAGTCCGTTTGATGAGCCTTATGGAGGGTGTGGCCTAGAACGGTACATTACTGGTGGAACCAGCCGTCTCACGGGGTGGGGGAGGTGCACAGACTCCCACTACTCGCACTCCGGAGCAAATGGCTCCCTAGTATAAGGCTCCAGCAGCCTCGCTAGTTGGTCTAATTCAGTCGGTTGTTGCGGCACAGGCTGGTGATAGGCCCGTTATATCTTCTGAGGCTTTGTTGTGATTGGACAAGTTTACCAAGCTCTTTCAAGTCCATTTTAGTAGTGCATATTCTAGGACCCACATGATTATCTAGACCGCTGCCATGAGGTGCTGTGGAATATGGGTATAGTTGAGACCAGCGGGGTTGATTTTGCTATATTTTAGATGACTGGTTCCGCCAAGAGTTGTGGAGAGATTATGTGTTGACTAGACTAACTGGCTCGCCTGCACTTACTTGGGATAAGTTTTCGCAACTATTTCTAGAGAAGTTCATTCTTGTAACTTTGAGATAGGATTACCGCAAACAGTTTAAGCAGCTTCAGCACGGTAGTAGGACTGTTACCAAGTACGAGACTTATTTTGTGGACTTAGCTCATCATGCCATTATCTTTCTCCCTATTGAGAGGGAGAAAGTGAGGAGATTTATTGATGGGCTCACTTACACTATCAGGCATCGGATGGCCAAGGAGACCGAAAGTGATATTTCTTTCCAGATGGCTGTATATGTTGCTAGATAGATAGAGATGGTTCTTACTCAGGAGAGGGGGCAGGTGTCTGATAAGAGGCCTCTTCATTTCGGTGGGTTCAGTGGCACCTCTTCTAGAGGCAGGGGTACTTTTGGCAGAGGCCATCCTCCCAGCCCGTTTCAGTTAGCACTCCAGGGATCTCATAGTGCATCAGTGAGCCATGGTCCTTATGTGGCTCATCCTGACTAGCTATCCTACAGTGCACCACCAACTCCTATTAGTGAACCTCTAATCTAGTTTTCTAGGTGGTTAGCCAGGTCGACAAGTCCAGTTCCAGGGTCAGCAGTCACAACAGCCGAGGGCTTATGTGATGACCCGATAGGTCATCTAGAATTTTAAACCTTAATTCTCTATTCTGAATTCTACAATAGCTTCTTTACACCTTCCTCGATTTACGTGCTCGGTCCGGGTATTTTTCCAGAAGGCTTTTATGTTAAAATTGATAAAACATGAAATTTTTCTTTAAAATTCCATTTGAGTTGAGTTCGGTCAACATTTTGAGCAAATAGATCCGGATCTGTGTTGTGATGATCTCGGTGGGTTCGTTTCGTGATATGAGACCTGGACGTATGCCCGCAATCAAATTTGGAGGTCCCTAACTCGAGTTATCGCTTTTTGTCGAAATGTTGAAGTTTAAAGGCTTAATGAATCTAAAGGTTTGACCAATGTTTAACTTTGTTGATACCGTGTCCGTATTTTGGTTCCAGAACTCGGTATAGGTTCATTACTATATTTATGACTTGTCTGTTAAATTTGGTGAGAAACGAAGTTGGTTTGAGGTGATTCGGATTTCCGATTGTTAAAATAGAAATTCTAAAATTTCATTGAAAACTTCATTTGATTTGGTGTCCGATTCATAATTCTAGGTGTTATTTTTGTATTTTTATCGGGC